ACTTTTCGATGTCCATTAGAATATTTTTACCTTCTCAGAAATACATACAACTGGCCTATGATTTCTAAGTGGGAGATATCCTCTCTTTTTTCTTGGGTAGTTTGTAAAATTTTAGAAAAACCAAGTTACTACTCGGTGGGCCGTTGTTGAGTAAAGGCTGATATCCCGTGAGACTTCGGGTGGGACAGTATTTTTGTAAGGACTAGATCTTACTGTATATCTGTTATCTTACCGTCTGTGAATTGTTTTCTAAGTGTGTATACACTTGTTTATGTGAGTCTTTTTGATCTTATACTATATTAGATTATATATAGTAATAGAATACCTTTAATGTTAATTAAATTTAGTGTTTAATACAAGTATAGTGTTAACTTCAATAAATTAGGCAGCAGTCATCAGAAATTACTGTAAGTTACCATAATCTTAGTATATCCAATTATCTGGGCAAATAATATGGTATGGTATCATATTATCTGCAATAATCTGGGCGAATCAAAGTTCATCCATGTCTTCTCCTGTAGATTGCTGATTTTTGCATTCAATTTAAAGAACATTTCAATAGATTCAAGAAATTTCAGTAAGTAATAATTATAAACATTTAAGTCTCAGTTTCTCATTAAATAATAGTGCGAGATAGTTAATCCACTTAACCAAGTGCGGTTTAGTTAAATTTCTATATTTTCATTTCTGTAACCTTTTTGTATTTTTGTAAATTTAGAATTGATTAATTTTTGTTATCTTTTGCGTTGGTTATAACTTTAATTCATTTTTTTTTTGCTGTAATATCTCGAGATACGCCAAAATTTTATTTGTACATGATTGTATTCTATATCTTTGTAGAGGTATTTTCTAATTATATTACTGCTTATTTTTATATGTATACCACCATTTTATAGTTGTTGGTGTACTTTTATTACTTGTGTAGCATTCAGCAGCGGCATAATTTTGTTGTTAAATATATTGTTATTGTTTTATGTATATATTTTATTTGTCGGCTCCTAACAAGTTCCCCGATAAAAAAGTAACTCTAAGTATTTGCTTTTTACCGTTAAATATTACTATACTTTGACCAGTAGAAAGATCAGGCTGATTAAGTTTCGTAGGTAAGTAATATATTTATTATATTGTTTATATAGTGTGTTGACCAAATTTATTTGATAATTAACTGTTGGTATCTTTCGTTGGTTTGATCTCTGAACCTAAATATCTTTCCTTATCTCTTTTCTTTTCTAAGGTTTCTTAATTTTCTCCTTAACCCCAAAAAATTGAGTGGCGCCCTGTTTCTATCTTATTGTATCTTTGATAATTTTACCCATCTATTTTTTTGTTTATTTCTGTATCTTTTCTAATATCTCTTATCCTATCTTTACTTATTTCATACGTTGGACCCATTCCCGGTTCCAAAAGCTAGTTTCGAACCCACGACTCGTTCTACATCAACCATCTGGCTGCCGTCCTCCATCCATCCTGGCTAAACCAAAGGTTTAAGATGTTACACATATATTTATGATGCCCAAAGCGTGGAGCTTATATTCTTTTGTTTTTTGCTTTGTCCGTTGCCTTTGCGTGTCTTTCACATTTTTTGTCCCGGCTTCTTTACCTAATCATTTTCTTAGCTTTCTCTATACATTTACATAACGCCGAAGCTACGAGGACCCTCATAAGCTTACGTTGTTTTAGTTGTATTTATTTCTTCTTATATTTGTTTCATTTCTATCTCAGTTATTTTTTCATTTTCTTCCTGCGTTCCGTCTGGTTAACACACTATAAAAGTTTTTCCGGATTCATTTATAAATTTTGGAATTAAACTTAATCTTTCTTTGGTGTAATTGTACTATTTTTATATTTTTTTATTATTATTACCTGTAGACTCAAATTAAAAAATGTATAATTTTGAAGTCAATTTTCTTACTTCAGAGGAAATTAATTATGAGTTAAAAATCAGAGGAACTGTTACGAGTAGAGAAATAAAAGAAATGAGGAAAATCCTTAAGTGATTGTTAGTTAGGGATAACAGCAATCAATTATGTTTAGATACCCTAGATTATGATAACGAAAACACTGCTATTAAAAATTCTATCGATAAGATTTCAAAGTTAGTTGAAGAGTTTAAAGGTTCTTCAACAGATTCTTGTTTTCGCCAAGTCAAATCACGACTTATTCATTTGTTAGGTAGAATAGATCGTCTCCCTATTCCCGAGTCTGATTCTGAGGAATCTATTTCTTTTCGAAACGAATCTAACGCTACCTGTTTGTTATTGGAGCAAGCAAGCACAGCTACTATTTAGTTATTTTTGACACAGCACATTCACCAGAGACAACAATAATTAGTTTTTAAAACTATTACGCTATATTTAATATGTATATATAAATACAGTTTATTAAAACTAAATATTGTGAATAAAATTGTGTAAGAAATAAAAACAAATAAAGAAAATTAGTATATTGACGCTTTTGAAAGATCGATTAGTTCCGTAAGGGTGTCATATTATTACCTGTGTAATACGGGCTTTACACCAACAATAAATTCACGAAGAAATTCATGAATTTATTCATCAATTTCTGTGTCAATAAATTCGTGAATTTCTTGGACGTAAAAGTTTCTTTGACTTCAAATAAATTTTTACATCAAGTGTCATTATTTCAGTAGTACCAATGGTTTTATTATTGGATGTTATTTATTGTTGTTTATTTGAATAAATATATATTTGGATTTGGAAATATAATCAGAAAACAATATCGTTTTAAAAAGAAAATAGTAAGAACTTGAACAAGAGGTAAAAATAAGTGGAAATTACATTATAATTAGTGAAAACTTTTTATTTTAGACATAGAAGGAATTTCAAATAACTTTAATAAGGACAACATAGCTAAACAAACAGAAAAAGTGGTAATTTGATTTTTTATATGAAAGAACAAGAAAATCTAGCATTCATTACATACTAAAAATTAACTGTAGTTAGTATAAATGTTAATCAATTCATTGTGACTTTTTACAAGCTACAATACTTTTTATAATCTTTTAACCACTTTCATATTATATTCTCAAGCGATATTTACCTAATATAAATAAATAGCTATGTTTATTGTTAGAATATTGAGATGTGTACAATTCTAATCACAAAGAGATATTGTAAAGAAATGAATACTTAAAATAAATAAAACATGGAAATAACCAGTAATACTTTATCACAAGTTTGTGAGCTGATTCTTTACAATTTTAATGATTTGTCTTTAACATACTACAATTTTCTCTATTGAATAGTAGGGTAGGTTAAGACTAAACTAAATAGGTGTATAAAAATACAATAATTTCTAAATATTATATAATTTAAATAATAAATGAAGAATCATAATAACAGGAATAAAAGCTAGTTTTAATATTTGTTATACACAAACAACTATGAATTTTTTCTAAATAAAAACTGTACAGATTTTATCCGTAGGATATGGAATCCTGCACTTTTAAAGCAAGATAGTCAAGTTAAGAAGAAAACTATGAATAATAAAGTATGAGAATAAGAAGAATGAATAAGAAAGAACAAAATTAGTAGCAGGCCAACGGCTTCATGTAGAAAAAGAGCACAACAGAAACATGTCAGAGAAATGGAATATTGGAGAGAAATAGATTTATTAGGTTTAAAAATTATTTTATACAAAGAAAAATTTAATAAAAAATAAAAAAATGTTCTATGTTTATTAATGATTCTTCTGAGGTTTTCCCATAACACAAAAATATTTTATAGGGTTCTCAAACACCTTCAACTTAAGGAAGTTCAATAATTTGAATTATTTATTATTGCTTTATTTAGCAATTCATCTTCAAAATTGTCTCCACTTTGATTTTTCAATTGAATCATTTCAACTATACAGCCACTTTCATTGGCTAAAATTGGAAACTTTCTTCTTCCATGCACATTTTACATATCTGGAATTCATTGCACACAATTTCAGGATGTCTTAGTGAATTGTTTTAGTGGACAGTCTGAATGTGAATTTAAAATCTAATCAATAATATAGAATTATTCAAGACTCAAGGCAAAGTTAATTTAAAAATCCTATCAATAATATAATATTATCCATAGCTGGTTCAAAAAGAAAATATATCTAGGGAGTACCTATCACCAAATTATCAGAATTTAAAATATCTAAATTCTTTTTTTTTAAGTTGCTGTTTTTGAGAATCATGAGCGGAATGTGATAGCCTAGGTACTATACTATATCACTCCATACTTTTCATTTTGCAATCTTATAATACTTGGCATTTCAAAGAAAACCATCCTTTCCTGTTTCAGAAATCCATATCTCTTGGAAAACGTTGATTAATCAATTTTTAAACTTTCTCTTTCGGGTTGATTGTTCTTAAAACAAGAGATTTTTAATTCTTTTTCCAATTTGCATTTCTAGCCATTTTTTTATTTATCTTTGTCTTAATTGAACATCTTGATGTAGTTATTTTAATATTTTTTCTCTTGTTAAATATTATTGCAAAGTGCTACTGTATTTTTTAGTGGATGGGTTGGGATTTTGTAGGTTTATATTTGTATTTACATGTTTTATTTGATTAAGAAAATTAATATTTGTAATTAGATGCATAATTTAAGAGAAATAGTCGATTTTTATGCTTTCATTGACAGATTTACTTATAAAGAAAAGTACTGTGTATTATAAATTATTGTAATCCTCAATTAGATCATTTTAAAGAAATAAATATATCGTTTACAATTTTAAAAAAGTTTATAAATTAAAAAATATACATTAGGTATATAGATATTTTATATAGATGAGCAATATAGTTCTAACTAGTCTGTGTACCTAGTTGACCCATATTAATGATTAATAAATCCTAATAGACTAATAATCCTAATAGATGATGAATCAAATTGTAAATATAAATAACAGAATGTGGCAAGTGATTATTTGTGGATTATATTATAACCTAGCAGTTCCGTTATTTACACGTGACTTTAAACATTTTTCATATAACACGTCTATTAAATAGTGTCATATAGGATTTTATTGAAACCACATATTTTTCGTTTTTTATCACATCGAAACACTCTGAAATTTCATACTAGCCAGGGCTGTTTTTAAAAATCACTTTTTGGTTTATAGTATAATGTTTCAAACGTGTAAATTTTTTCCAAGTTTATTGTTTGTTTTTGGAAGCTTGTGTGGGTGTTGTTATACCGTAAGTACTAATAGAGTAACTACGAGAGAAAATCATCCTATCGCTACCACAGAAAAACCTGTAGAGATGTTAACGAATTCAAGGTAAAACTTTTTTTTAATTGACTAAAAATTAAATTATCAATCGATTTGGTTTGATGGATTTTTTTCCAATATTTATTTTATATTTACATATTTGATTTAAAGCTCGTTTTATGGATAGAGTAGATCTTCTTGGATAAGATTAGAGAAGGTGACTTTGGAAAAACATTTCTTGACTGTAGCAGGATATAATTCTTTCAAGTAGCTATAATGCAAATAAGTGCGGTAGATAGATTTACGCTTTTTTTGCAATTCTGGAAATCATAATTATTCACCGTCAAAAAACGCAACAAATCTGTTAATAAAAAAAATTCAGTAAATTAATTTGAAATTCTGAGTTATTTCTTGATCCAAGTAAGCTAGCATTGTGAAGTAGTCTAGCGTGGGAGCAAGACTATTTTAACACTTTCTATGAAGCTTTAGAATGTGACATGGTATTATCCAGGAAAAGAAGCATTATTATTAATTTATATTAAATTAGTTAATATTTTGTTTTTTTTTATTTTATTATCAAATTTATGTAGCCATCTTGTCATAATTTCTGTTGCCATCTAAGCCTTTTTGTAAGAAAGTCATCTTCTAGTTCGATCAGACAGGTTTTTGTTCCCAGCTTGTATGCATCTTTGATTTTAACCTTAATTCCCATATATGTTTTGAATATATTCAACATCGCCTCTTTTATTACTCTTTGATCATAGGTATCTATTAATATACCATTCAACACTACATTGTTTTTCCTCCTTTGTTTTTCCATAAATTCCATATTCTCCTTGATTTCTTTCGATTCCTCTTTGATTTTTTTGTTTTCTTGTTCTAGGTCTTTGTTTTCCTTCTTTAACTTTTTATTATCTTCGATGAGCTGTTCTATTGCTTCTTTACTGCTCTTTTGGTCGTTCTTTATCTCTGTGACATCTTTTGCCAACTTGTTCATCATTTCAATTATGGTATCTAGTTTTGATTCATATTTATTCCGTGGTGAGTTTGTTGATAGCTTTCTATTCTTCGTATGCTCTCCTCTTTCTTAATCTTCGATGTCATTCTCCCTCATTTTTTTTTTATTCCGTCATCCGTTACTGAGCTATCGCTCTCCAAATTTTTCCTTTCTCCAAAAACTTTTTCATTATTCGGCGCCAGGCACTATCTTTCACCTCAACGGTTCAGAGAAGACAGTGTCGACCGTTTATTTATTGCAACCAGCTAAAATATTGTCGCCTGGGATATTTTGCTCACAGTGGCAACGTCGCATAAAAATTGGTGAAGACTTCAGTGAATGTTTTGCTTTTTATCGCGCTTATCAGTTAATCTCTTCGGTGTATTTTGGTTAATTGCTTATAATTATTTCACTGACTCACCTTTTAGAAGTCCACTTTTTATACTACTGATTAGTTTTTAACTTTGTTTTGCAGTCTAACTAATTTTGATTGTTTACTTCTCGTTGTAACTCTCGATAAATCGGGTTAATTACAGCCGAAACAACAAACGTATTTATCTAATCGCTACCGCGTTGCCAACGAGACGATAGTGCAAAAATGTAGGATGTACAAAAGTAATACTATTTATTTAGGTAAAAAGTGTAGAGGATGTGCAAAAGTAATACTATTTATTTATGTTAAAAGTGTAGAGTGCATTTACATTCCGAATATTTCGAAAATTTTCACCTTAAAATTGAATTTACATGTAAGATACAATATGTTCCTTTATTAAAAATTGTACTGTTTTCCTTGAAAATGAGAAAAAAAATCTTTTTGGGTATAAATTAGTCCTAATTGATGTATTTTTAATCCAATCTAATAAATTAATTGTCAAATTTGCCTTTGTATGTTGAGCGGCCATTAATGGTTTAATACTATATAAAAATAAACTGGCCTCAAATTTACTTTACTTACCTCAAAACTATTTTAAAGTTAATATTAAAGGTTATTTAATAAATATATTCTCAAGAACACACTACGCCTATGCACATATGTATATAATCTGGAAGGAATAAACTAAGATATCATATTTCTCTCATTAACATTCTTTCTAATAACGTAAGTATATATAGACCAGCAATATATTGATAAGTTTGCCGATGGTTCAAACTATTCAATGAACTTGTCTCACTATACACTCGTGAATCGCACCAATTTATATCGTTACGGGGGCAAATTTATCTTACTTTCTCGCTTATTTACATGGGCGAAGCATACACAATAAAAATGACCCCAGTAAGAATTTACTAACGAAATTTTACATGGTTGCCCGTACCGTTTAGTTCAATTTGTAGATTAGTCACCTTTAATTGAAAATTGTCCGACTATAATCCTTGTGGGACTCTACTCTTGACTGGCTTATCTAGTGAGTGGTCTTCCTCAATACGAACCCTGAAGTATCTGTTGGATAGAAAATCTTGAATCTAAATGTTTAACTTACCGCGGATACCATAATGATCCAGTTTAGCTAGTAATCGACGTTTTGGAACATGGTTGAAAGCTTTGAAGAAGTTTAGTAGACTACATCGACAGGATGCTGATTGTTTACAGATAAAGACCAATCATTTACACAATAAAGTTTCTGATCGTTGAACGACTTTTGATAAAGCCATGCTGTTATTGAGAGATGACATTTTCTTGAAGAAGAAACTCAGATAACTTTTATTCTTTATAAAATGATATGTGTTCGATGGGGAATTAAGTAACGAAAAACTCTGAAGGAAATGCACAAATTTATTCAGATGTTTACAGTTTAGGGTACAGAACTATACTAACTTAAGGACTACAAAATATATCTAAAAAACCTCTCATAGTTCTTGATAATAACGTAAACACTTAAAGATTTTCGGCGTGGGTCTTCTCCGAAGGAATCTGGAATATTGACATAAAACACACACACACACACACACACACACGCACACACACAAACACACACACACACACACACACACACACACACACACACACACACACACACACACACACACACACACACACGCACACACACACACAGTGACGTGCTCGCCATAACACCTCCCTCCGGAAGACCGAAGCTGGGGTGTCCAAGAAGGGCTTCTTTTGCAGCTTCGAAGTTTTGGCGCCTCTCTAGACATACTCCGCATAGAGCAGGTAGGGCCACATGGGACAAAAAAAAACCAACCGGCAATAACTCATTCTACTTTTGCTACAGTTATTATTGATTAAAATCCCTTTATAATATGGATAATGAAAGGTCATATCTACTACTTGCCGTGTTACACTTCAACTTGGTCTAGTTAATCGCATCATAAAATGGTTTTACATTATTAAAATGAAATTTTCGAATAACCTCGTTATCTAACTTAATTTTTAGAGTTTTATTGGTTTCATTGACCTCAAAAACAACATAATAATATGGTCCTGTATTTAATACCGATTTTGGTGTATTTGGATTTCTTTGTCTTTTTAAGAGAATTTTATCTCCAACTTTATACTTTACTTCCAAGTTGCTCGTTCTTAAGTTGTCAAAACGGTTCTTTTGCTTTTTCCTTTGATCGCATTGTTTTTCCCTTATATTTTCTAACTGATTATTATACGTAATTTCATCAAATTTTCTATCATTTTTATATGAAAATACTAAACTATAGGGTGTAGTGGACGTTGAATGATGTTTACTAGAATTATATGAATGTATAGCGACTAAAAGTGCATCTTCTAAGTCGCACTGGTTATGTTCTAAAAGATAACTTCGCAAAGTATGGTAGCATGGAAGCTCTCAATTATACCGTTAGAGGCATGATACTCAGACGAAGTAAGGTGCCATTCGATATTCAATGAATTAATAAAATTTTGCACCTTTTTATTATTAAATTCACCCCCGTGATCTGACATAATCATCTTAGGAAGGCCGAAAAGCGAAAAATAATTTTTTAATTTACTAATTATCGTTTCTGGGTTTTTATCAGTTAAAATATACGCTTGTGCAAATTTTGTTAGATTATCTATAACGGTGAGCATTTTTTGTTTATCAAAAAAGAACAGGTCTACAGATAAAGCCTCAAACGGTTTCTCCGGAGAATGCCTTACATTTAAACCTTGAGTACGATTCCTACGATCAAATTTTGAGAGTTGACAAGTAGGGCATAAAGTAATAAACTCGGTTATTTCTCGATACATATTTTTCCATTTATAAAGTTGTCGAATTTTGTCTGCAGTTTCATTAATTCCTTTGTGATAATTACCCGGGTCGTTATGATATTCGAAAACTATTCTTTGTCTATCTTCTACAGGCGGCATAGTAACGATATTTTTACAAATTATAAAGTTCACGTCTGAGTAAATGAAACTGAGCATTTTATAATAAATATTACTTTCAAAATAAGGTATGCAATAAGTTTTATTTCTAACTAATACTAATTTTTTCAAAGTATTAAAATTCTCAAGGCAATGGTGTGGCTTAATTTTAACTATAGTAATCTCGCTACTACGATTTTCGTTATATAACTTTAATATTTTTTCAAAATCCGAGTCACCAACAGTGGAAAAATTATCATTGATTATTTCGAAATGATTTACATTTCTGTCATTCTCATCGTATAGATTTATAGATATAAAATATTCTTATTGTTAACGTGTAAGATTTGCTCATTAGAGTAGGTAAAGTTATTTAAATTTAAGTTAGTTTTAATATTCTCAAATTCGGTATATTCATTTTGTTTTTGATAGACATGGTTTAATCGAATTCTTGACAAAGCGTCTGCAACTCTGTTGGCTTTACCTGAAATATGCTGAATGTCAAAATTATATTCACTTAACTTCAGTCTCCATAGTGGTAATTTAGAATTAGGATCTTTTAAATTTAAAAGCCATATAAGTGGCTTATGATCTGTGATTAGTCGAAATTTAACTCCAAATAGATATGGACGGAAGTAATTTGTAAAGTGGACAACAGACAGTAATTCCTTTTCTGTAGTGGAATATTTTATTTCCGTTTCATTTAATGTTCTGGATGCAAAAGCTATCGGATCGGTCTATCCTCACCTTTATCGGAGA